GCGAAGGCTCGGGGAGCCGCCAAGGCACGGAACCCCGAAAACCCCAAAGAGGAAGCTGGTGACGCAGCACCAACACAAGATCCCCAGAGGAACCCCAACGAATGCAAGAGGCGGAAGGGGAGTCTCCGAAGGAACCAAACAGACGCCGAAGCCAAACCCGACTCCGCGGGCAGACCAGCACGCCGAAGTTCAAACTCCCGCACAACCGCTCAAGCAACCGCTGAGCAACCCGGGACCCCCTCATGAACAGCCGAAGGCGGGACCACAGCCGCAGTAACACTTCTGGAGGGAAAGACAATGAGGGGCCCAAGAGCCCTAAACAAGGCCCAGGTCCGAACCCGGGACGGAAACAGATGGAAAAACCTCCAGATCACCAGGAAACCAAACCCGGCGATCTGGAAAGAACCATCCCCTGGCGAGCAGACAAGCGGACTGACTGGGAGCCCACACCAGCCAGTCGTCGAGGTAGGCCAGACACCGAATCTCAGACGCAGACAGGGCACTAAGATCCGGTAAAGATGCAGGGTGCACAAAATAGGGAATAAGATCCCCACCACCAAAGGTAAAGATGCATAAAATCATTATATGACACCAAGTGCCAATTACTGGGAAAACGGGAAGGCAACGAAAGCAGCTCTCATCCTGTAACCTGAAGCCCCACCACCAACCGTGCTAGTCCCAGAAAAACTGGAGAGGAACGTGCCAAGAAGTGACCTGGAGGTCCAGGTCCACCATCCAGGCACCCGGCCCCAACAGAAGCCGAACAGGAGACAACAGTCCTCCGAGCAGGGCATAGGATCCAGGGCGCAGACTGAAGAAGTCCAGAAGAACTGCAGATGCGAAAAGCTCATGACTGCAAAGAGCAGACGGGAACCCCAGAAGGATGGGGCGGATCGACCACGCCCAACGCACCCACTAAGAGGACATGACGAAGCGCAGGGGAAGAAGCCCACCCCGCCAGCTCTGAACCCCCCCCAAGGGGGAGAAGCCGTCCTCCGACGCCACCAGAGGCCGGAAGACAACCCAAAGCGCCCACCAACAGCGGGACCATGCGAGAGGCAACAGAGCAAGCTGCTCCCCCAGCGCCCAGTCAACAGAGAAGGGAACAGAACCCCTTCCGAAAGAAAAAGTACACTACCGAAGTCATGAGGAGAGACTACGGGAATGAAACCACACTTCGCTGGAAGAGGAAGTGAGGGGAGACCTGATCACCACATACAAGATACCCAAGGGAATCGACAGGGTTGAGAAGGACAGGATATGTAACACAAGGGGCACACGCACTAGGGGACACAGGTGGAAACTGAGTACCCAAAAGAGCCACAGATAGTGAGTGTCAGAATGGGAACGGGAAAGCACTAAGAAGTAATGTGGCGACTCCTCACACAAGTAACGAGGCTGACCCCCATACAATGTCACATGTAGACATGACAGAGCCCAAGAGGCACAGGAACCGATACACCTGTTGACGGACGGTTGAGAGGCAGGACCAAGGAGCCAGAGCTCAACCCCCACAAGCACAACTAGGTGAGGACATATATTGTAAAAGCACAAGCCGCCGACTAGTGGCAAAGAGCACTACGCCGGCCAGGCAAAGAAGGCACAAAACTGCATCAAAAGGCCCACCTCGACAGCAAAACCACAAAGTCCCAGCACAACCACAACATGTGCCAAGACCCAAAAAGATCAGTCTGCAAGCCAGGAAGACCCCGGAACCCCAAAAGGCAGAACCGGGTCACACGAGGAAACAAAGTCCCCTGAACCCACAAAAGGGGGCCCAAGAGGAAGAAACCTCCAGAACGAAACCAAAGAACCCAAAGGAACCCAGAATCGAACCAGGGGGAGCCCAAACCACCACATTTGCCGGCGGAGAACACCACAGAAAGGCAAAGCACAGACCCCAGACAGAACGCCCTGGGAAAACGGTCCCAACAGACCGAAAACCGAGGGACAAGGTGTGGGAGCAAGCATACCAGCCAGGGACACTGAGCCTAAACCCAGAGGCCCAGACCCAAAACAGACAAAAATCAAAAATCAACACCAAACGTTCCCAGAGGAACAGGCAACGGCAAGAAAACACCAGAAAAGCAAAGAAACGACAACAGGAGAATAAAAACCCCTGCAAAAAGGTGAAAACTCACCAGAGACGCTCGCTCGCACACCCAGACGCATGTAAACAAACCGCAACGCCGCCCTGGTGGCCACGCCGGGAAACCGGCAGACGAAAATGGCCGCCAGCAGGGGCTGTGACTGACGCTTAAGATACAAAAACACGCCAGCAAATGTGGGAAGCTAGCAGACTGGAAGGGCGAAAAACGACGCCCAACAGCAGAAAAAACCCAGGCAGGGGCAAACCGCCCCAGAACTGCTAGCAGGCATCCCCCACAGCCCCGGGAACCAACAACAGAGGCCCCGGGGCAGAGCCGTCCTCCAAGCCCTCCGCCCTTAAAGAAAAGCAAGAGTCCATGGGAAAGGCAGCAAGAAAGGGCCGCTGGTAAGACCCAGAAGCCTTGGCAGGAGGCACAGGCTCAAAACCTCCGTCCCCAACCCGAACGGGGCATCCCCCGAAAACCGCCCGAGTCTCTGCCGCAACTGAACCCCGCCCCGACCCCGAAACCCACAGACGGTCCGGAGCCGGGAACAGGGAGGGAAAGGGGCGAACAGCACCTAACCAAACGGGGCGGCCACGGGGCATCCGAGTGGGAAACCAACCTAGCATGTTGCAGCAACCTAACCTAGCTTGCAACACGGATGCCGCCTGTACTCTGAACAGTAGTAACATCAGGAGAGTACTGGAGAACAAGCAGAGAATCACTCGCAAGACTCCGGGTCAAGGTGTCAGTGACCCAACAGGCAGCATGACGGAGGTAAAAATGGCGACTGTCACCCGGAGACAAGGGAACAGCAACCAACGATCCCGTACAAGACGGGTTGGAACCCGGAAGACACATTCAATGGTCCCCCGAGCCCAGACAGGGGTTTCCAGGGCCCGTAGGGTAACAACTACGGGAAGCCCGGGCAAGGTGTTGCTAACCGGTTAAGAAACCCAAACATAACAAGAGGGTAGATTATAGCACTGAAAACCCCTGAGACGTGTACAAGCACGGGGGCCTAGCAGAGGGCCGCCAAACACTACCAGTGGAACTATAACCACCTTAGGCAGACCCCCACCAGGCAAGAAAATGAAAAACAAAAGAAAAACCCCGCAAAAGTACACCGTCTCCAGAGGCAACAGAAACCGGCCGCCGCTTAGGTGGCAGGCTGCGCAACACCTTGACGCCCTAACCAGCACAATACCAATCCCTACCCAGGGCCAAACAAGGGCCCCAAGCCCCAGCTGGCCCCAAGGGCGAGGCAAATGCCGAGCAGCAAGAACCTCTACGGGAATGGTTCCCGAACGCCCCAGGGAAGATAACCCTGTAACGCAAGGGCAGTACTCACAGGGCGCTTAGGGAAGTCAGCCACTAAGCACATGCAGCCCCGGCACTGATGAAGTACTCCTGGCCACCGCACACCACAACACACGGCAGTGAACGCCACACAAGGCAAACACCGCCTAGGAAACTGAGGCCAGAGAAGCGTCAATCCCGGTTGACATTAGCGAACGAACTGAAGCTTGGCAGCCGGCGCGGTAGGTCCGGGGCTCCCCCCTCCCCCTCCCGGGGCGGGGAGGGCTGCGCGGACGATCGGCGCGGCAGTAAAGTGTGATGTTTGCTTGTTTGCTTGTTTCCTTGGGATTGTAGGGAGTTTCTACCTCTCTGTTCGGTTTTTGTTGTAGTTTCTTACCATGTGGGGTTTGTTTTGTTACGCCTACCTTTCTGGGTGCCTAACCCCGGTCGATGGCAGATAAGGAAAACCCCCAACCACATGGGGTTTTCCAGGGCCATTGCTCCCTGAAACCTCTCTGAAGGGGCCAGGTTCTGGCGCTGGTCCCTGGTAGGTCTGAACTCCTTAGCTAATGTCCCGGTCTAACATAACATACATTAGCCCGATAAGCTCCAGGGAGCCGTAGGGGCTCCCCACAGAAAACTGACGAGCCTCATCCCTAGATGGAGGATTAGAGATGGAGGATAGAGACCCAGTGAAGACAAATGTCACAGATCTCAGGGTGGAAAGTATTAACCATGCAACAGGTGACACGGTGACTCGTGGAGCAGTTAGACGTGGTTGACATCGGGCGATTGACCGAGGGTTTTCAAGAGGGTCAGCAAGCAGCTTCCGTGGTGCTGCCAAGGGGGTGGATGATCTATTTACTTGGTGGATCATTTACAGTCATTTGCTGCTCTTTTTTTTTTACTTTTAACTTTGTTGTCGTCTGTTTTGCTTGGCTTATTGTCTGGGGGATGCTTTCTCAGTGAGGATGCTTTTCTCAGCATGACTCACCTGCTCCCTGCACCACTGTACTCACCTAGTTGTGTTTCGGGGGGGTTGAGCTCTGGCTCTTTGGTCCCGCCTCTCAACTGTCAATCAACTGTGAGAGGGGGGCGGGAGAGATTTTGGCCTCTGGTCCCTAGATGATTTTTAATGACTTGCAAGAGCTGATGTAAGTTATAAGTGTGGGGCTATCTCAGTGTGGCTAGTAAGAGGGGGAACACCATCCAGCCTCTCCAGAAATATGAAGATGGGAGAAATAGATTGCTAATACAACAAGAAGCTTATACAACATGTAAATCTGTGTTATATATTATTTTTCAGACAATTTCTACAGTAAAGAGTTTTGGGAGGCATCAGTTTAGTACTGGGTAGCATGAGTATTTTTATTTTACAGTTTTTTGTATTTATAATACAGTATTTTGTATTTCCATTTACAGACCTTTTCACAAAGTAAATCATGAATAAAAATGGACTATAGGAGGTCTTTGGAATCCAACACTATTTTTAACATATAACCTTTAATACTGATTTGTGCAGATTTTGAATTGGCAAACATGCAAATCAAGGTCGGCCTGTATAGATTAACATGTACAACATGCTTTCATGACTGTTCATGCAAGTTTTACCTCCTCCTCTGTTGGCTAAACCAAAACACACAATGGTTAAACACTTCATCAATTGATATCGATTGTCTATAATATTGTTGCCTATTTGAACAAATAAGTTTACAAAATCAGGAATGCTGCCTATTAGCTAATGTAAGGGTGTTAGTAACACACTAATATGCATAGAGACAGTGACAGGTCAGTGTCCTTAATCCTGTAGATCAGTGTTCTTAATCCTGTAGATCAGTGTTCTTAATCCTGTAGATCAGTGTTCTTCAACCTGCATGTCCGCAGACCATTTTCCTGGCGGTCCGAGAAAACTTTCACCCGAATAATGTAGCCGCTGCTTAATTCGGGCGTTACATTGTTACGGTATTGTGATACTCTCACGACACTGTGTGAGTATGGACTCGCACCTCCACCATCTCCTCCTCCATGCAGAAGTGAGGTGGTTATCGAGAGGAAGGGTTTTTGCATGCCTCTTCCAACTGAGGGAAAAAGTAAAGCAGTTTCTGCAAGAGCGAAAATCTGACCTCATAGAGCATTTGTTGAATGAGGAATGGATGGCTAAGCTTGCGTATATGGTGGACTTATTTAGCTTTCTTAACAAGCTTAATATTTCTCTACAGGGGTCTTGTACAAATATTTTAACAAAGAGAATTATAACGGATGTGTTCAAAAAGAATCTAGGTCTTTTGGAAAGTCACGTGCAAGAGGGAGATATAGAAATGGTTCCACTTTTGGGAGAATTTTTTTTTTTGCTGTTCATGTCCATCAGAGTTATATTCAACATAATAACTCAACATTTATGGGCATTAGTTGAAAACTTTAATTATTTCCCTGAAAATGCAGATCCTTGTAAAGGAACCTCTGGATTAATAATCCCTTCTTATAAGATACAAAATCATGCTCACTTGAGCCTCATGAAAAAGAAAAGCTGATAGAGTTGTCTTCTGATATCATTCTGGTGTCCAGACATAAAATGCAACCATTGTATTAATTTTGGATATTACTCAAAAGAAAAATATTCATCTCCAAGTTATAAAGCTATCAAATTACAGTATTGGTCATTTTTGCGACTTCCAATTTGTGTGAAAAGCCTTTTTCAGCCGTGTCAGTAATAAAACTAAATAGAGAAATCAAATGGATGTTAATGTAGCGCTTAATCTCTCAAACAATGCTTCAGTCATGTGTATCAAATTTTCTTACAAAGCAGCAGCAGCTGATGGTGCACTAAAAAGTATAATTTTATGGCATTAAATAAAATCCTATTTACATAGGATTTTATATATCAAAACCAATCTACGTTGGTTTTGATTTATGTCTTGGCCATCAGCCGGTCCGCAAAATATTTATCTTATTTTCGACGGTCCACATGTGTAAAAAGGTTGAATGCTGCTATAGACGCCAACAGGTCAGTAATCCTGGAAATGCTGACAGGTCAGTAACGTTTAGAAGTACTGACCTGTCAGCATCCCTAGGATTATTTGGACATCAAAAGAAGCTGTGCTACACAGCTTCTATAGACAATTCTGTGACAAAGTGCAAGATACTCGAGTATCTGTCCAGCAAGGTAGCAGGACATAAAGACACAAAGAGGAGAAAATCATTATTAATGATTATGTCATCTTTATTTTAAGCAAGAAGCAATTTGCTAGGTCGCAATGATTATAAGATCATGTTCAACAACCAACTTCACGGAAATACACACTTGCCCTACCTTTTAGCCTCCTACAATAGTACTTTTGTGCTTATCATACTTTTTTATTGTATGATCATTTTATTACAGTATCGTATTTGTATGATAACCTTATCATAATTACCATACAACATATATGCCATTGTTTACTTGTATGAAGCATTATTCACAAGCCTACTTAAATAAAACCACAATTGTGTATGTTAAAACAGCAATATGCTTACTTGACAGTAATATTCTTACCTGCACAACAACTGTACAATCAGACGGTCCTAATGATGCAACCACCGACTCATAGGTATTGGTCAGCTTGCTGTCTATGACTGAACAACCTTCGACATCAAATACAGCCAAGACTGGCCGATGGTCACTTTGTTTCAGTTCTGCACGACCATAGTGGACAATCCGACCTGTTGGTATTAATAAGAATAAATGCAGTTTTGAAGGTAATGAAATGCCTAATTCGGAACAAGTCCCAGTTGCTCAACCAGAATTAGGAGCTAGATGGTAGAGCGACGGTCTCGCTTTCTGCAGGTCGACCTTCTATCCCTAACTGTCCAAGTGGATGGCCACCATTCCTCCCCCCCCCCTGTCCTATCCCAAATCCTTATCCTGACCCCCTCCAAGTGCTATATAGTCATAATGACTTGATATTTTCCCCCTGATAGTTTCCTCCTTCCCAGTGGCTCCTTGAAGCTATCTTGCTGAGATTGCTCCATGCTAATGGGTCACATCAGCTGCTGAAGTTATGTTTGGCATACCAGGGACCAGAGCCAGAACCTGGTTCCCCCTTGCCCACAAAAGTGCAGGAAGTAAGTAACAATTTGCCACCTGTGAGAGAATGGTCTTTCAGGTTTCCCACAGATGGCTTAAAGTAGCACATTGCAGAGCACCTGCAGTGCACTAACTCTGGAAATCTACCCTCATGCACTTCACATTACCCAGAGCTGGTGCACAAAGTCTATCTCCATTAGTAGTGGACTAAAACCTAACATGTTTGGTATATCGTTGAGAGGGCATAATGCTAATAGTATAATGATAACTGTTGTGCATCTATTGGATGACGAGATATAAGAATAGAAATGCTATGCTCGTTCTAAGTCAACACCAGGAGGCAGCCATCTTGGGAGCTTTGAATGGCAACTTTCTGTCTCAGGCAATGGAGAAAGATTAGCAGATCAGGTCATCCTAAATGGTCGACCCATGATCAAAGACTTAGCCATGACGTCATGGCTATGTCATCACGTCACCTCAGATGAGCCTACACCCGCCTACTATAGTTAGACACTGGCAGAATAGCCGATTGCTGATTGGCCAATCCCAGTGACAAAGGCTGAAGGCTGACTAGAGCCCGCTTGCTGCACCAAGACAGTTATTCCATCTTAGAACACTGGACATAAAGACATATGCTCTTTCTATTAGCGGCCATTAACTAGAAGACATGTCAGTTCTTAGGCCAATCAAGTTGAACTGCAGTGTCATTATTCACTGTAAATATCTTGTAAGTAACTGGAATCCCATTGTGTTATTTCATCAAATTAAGTGAGTGACTATAGCAAATACCACAAGGTATGTTCAGAAGCAACAGGAACATGAGGAAGTGTACCATTGTGATTGTGTTATATCTAAGTCATCTGTATAGTTGCAGATACAGAAAAGTGTTCAGCAAACAATGTGTGTAAACCTGAGAAGTGCTGCTACAGAGATCCTGTGTGTGAAGTGCCTTAAATGCTGTTAGGAGGAAGAACTGAAACTGTAGCTACAATTCAGTGTTCCATCATTTGAATAGCAAAGGTGGCTGTTCACTATAATAGAAATACTATCCAAGCAAAGTTCAGGCTCCTACACAAATGCTTGACCAACCGACAGGTCACTTGGGGCCAATCCAACACCAGACGGTGCTACTGCTGCAGGCGGAGTAGTCACAGAAGATGGAAAAAGATGCCAACCTTGAGTTCCAAATGAGGCCTAACCAGGTCTGAACCTGGGATGGAACCAACTGGGACTTCTATCAATTCACCAGAAACCCAAAAGTGACAAGCTGAGAGAGACCCATATAACTGGCTAGCTTACACGCAGACCAACTGGGTGTCCAAATCAGTCATTCATTGAGATAGGCCAGAACCTGAACCTCTGAAAGACATAGCCGGGTCCCAACTACCAACACTAACCTAGTAATGATCCGAGGAGTCAGAGTGAAGATTCAGGGAGCCACCTGAGGGCTTCCCCAGAAATTCTCAAGTAACTCAATGTCAAGCCATGCATGTTCCAAATGTATAGAATATCATAAATACAGCAAACACGCATACATACCAAGGAATTTTGTATAGTCACAAATTACAGATTATACTATATATGAGAAGTTTACTTGAGTACAATATTTACCTGGGCTCCAGTTAGGGTTGTCCTTGTCCTTGGCATATTGCCTTCTCCAGAAAAGCACTCGGTCTGTCCAAGCAGGAATGCGGAGTTTATCACTGGTGTCGTAATCGTCAGAAAACAGATCGTATTTGTAGGTTGGTGCAAAATTAATGTCGCCTTCTACAAAACCTTTGAAACACTTGCCTTCATCAAAACTTAACTGTAAAGAGAAATATGGTAGTGAATGAGAAGCTTTGGTGAGAGTGATCACAAATCCCCTGCTCCCAGCACCTCTATGAGAGGGCCTGGTTTTGGCCTCTGATCTCCAGTAGGCTTTCAAGCACTTGCAAGGCCTGCTGTGACTTACAGGTGTAGAGGCATCTCAGTGCAGCTCCCCTAGCTGCACTGAGAAAACAACAGGGAGGTACCAACAGGGAGGTACCAACAGGGATAACAACTGAGATAAGGGATCAACAGGGAGCCAAAATTGAGCCCTCCCAAAAATGATTTTGTTGAAATTACATCACTTGATGAACCCAAAAATCGGGACATATTTTGTGTGTAAAGAGAAGGGTTTACAAAATGAATAAAAATTTATGAAATTCAAGATCTTTTTTTTTCCGGAAGGGTGCATTCATAAGAATTACATTTGCAACAACAGAGGGCATTTTACCTTGAGCTGATCATACTGTAGGAGGACGCTCCACTCTTGCCGCTGAACGTAATCAACTACCTCATCTCGAGTCAGATTGATACGATAATTGAAGTCCCCACACCAGAACACGTAGTCATGTGCCCAAAGAGGCATGCCCTCATAAGAAAAAAAAACTATTAGGGGAAAAGCTTCTTCGTTATATATCTAACACACAACATTCATATATATATTCTAAACAAGGTACAGTAAATGGACTTAAAATCACTTGAATCAACAAGAAACACTAAAACAATAATATTGCTTTAGGCTTGGTTAATGTGTATTTACAAATAATATATATATATATATAAAGGTCATATGCAATAAAATAAAAAATTCTTTAAACTTCTCTTACATGATGTAATTATAACTTATGAAAATATCTTGCTCAGCACATTTAGATTAAAAAAAAAATCGATGGGGCTTCAAAAACATTAAAAACACCTGCTATAACAGACAATGAATAATGAGGTACAATATGTGCTCCAGGAGTCATTGCTGAGTACTACCACCTCTGAACTGAGTGAAAGGTTCCAATGAACCCAGATATACTCAAAACATGCATATTAAGCATTTTATATATAAAAGCATAAGCCACTGAGCCCCAGAAGTTAAGTTTTACAGGATGAGTACAAGTCAGCTAAGAATTGGGCTCTGCCTGCTGACTGACATTCAAGAGACAGTCAGGGAGTGTGTTAGGCATTCTGGTTCTGAGAACCCAAGATGTGCACAATGCTGCCACCTAGTGTTGGACATGGTGGGTCACCAGACAGACAGACAGACAAGTCAGCGAGAGCCCTCGCTTGCCAGTTCGCTTGGCCATTTAAGCCAAGGGAGGGCTGCAAGTTTTGATGGCTATACCTCTAGTAATAATTCTGCACTTGACTGAGTGCTCCAGCAACTCCTTGCCAACTTGAATGACCCTCAATGGAAGTTTGAAAGGTTGCATGAGGCATGGGTGCTTAGTGTGTAAACCAGCCTCACTGTACATGATCCTAGTGATCTGACACAGTTCATACTAACTTCGGAAGCAACCTGATGTTAATAGCTCACAAATGTTGTTTAGGTGGCACAGGCTTGGCAATATTACCCTATACAAGAACACTAAGTCCATACAATTTTGAAATAATTTAACAAAGCAATTTCTAAGATACTGACAAAAGATTAACATTACTCTATAAAAATGCTAACTAAAGTATTGGGTTTTAGAAATTTGTGTGCAGCTACATTTGCTCCTCTTAGGGACCACTCAAACATTACTTTGACGCATGATGATTACTTACAAGGGGAAATATGAGTTTCCTGGCGATGCTGTCATAATCGTTGTTTCGTTCATTAACCTCCTTTTGACCAGCAGCAAAGTGAGAGCAGACAAATGCCATCGATGTGTTTCGCACCACCAGCCTGATCCCCACACCACCTTTGTTTCCTGCAACAAAATACCACACTACTTACTAAAATATTATTTTATATATTATATATTTTATATATATATATATATTATATATATATATATATTATTATTATATATATATATATATATATATATATATATATATATATATATATATATATATATATATATATATATATATATATATATATATATATATATATATATATACAGTATATATATATATATATATATATATATATATATACAGTGGAACCTCTATTAACGAGTGGCTCTATTAACGAGTTTTTCCAGTAACGAGCAAGCCACTCGCAGCAAATTTGTCTCTATTGACGAGCTCGCCTCTATTGACGAGTGAAACCACATGGCGCTTCCTAGCGTCTCGCGGGTTCTCGCAAATTCTCGAACGCCTCCGACGCCAGTGTTGTTGTTGTATCTCACACGACAAGCATCCCTCTGGATTTATTTGAGCTTTTCTTTGGGTTTTTAGTGGTTTTGCGACTACAATTTGTAACACACGATGTCTCCAAAGAAGCTGCTTGCTAAAGATAGTGTTTTCAAGAGGAAGAAAGACACAATTATTATGGATTTCAAGAAGGAAATTATAGCAAAGCATGAGTGTGGTGTCTGTGTGATTGATCTCACAAGGAAGTATGGCAGGTCCTCATCAACAATTTACACCATTAGTAAGGGAATGAGGAGGTAAGGGAGGATGCTGCCTCTTCCACTGAGATCAGGGAAGTGTTTGCAATGTTTGAAAAGGTGAACGCATTCTTGGAAAAGCTGCCCTGATAAAGCAGTGACAACCCAGTGTGTGAAAATGTTTAATTAATTTATCACTTTGTGATAACACTTTATGAAAGTGTTATCACTTTCGCAGGTATATGTCGCTTGAACGTAACACACTTTTTTTCTCTTGAATGCACCCAAACACCGCGCTCAAGCATCATTTGAGCAAATATTTCTATAAAATCCAATACTTATCCGATCGACTTGGGGATTGTATACATGTTTGCCATGAAATTTCCATTTTCTTTAATAACCACATTGCCTATTTGAGAAAACGGCATTGTATTGTATCTTCGTGGTAAGACTATTATATTGTTGACACAACGAGTGTAATCAACGTAGTTTTTTTATTTGGTGCTGGTCTAACGCATCCTTGTGTGACATTTGAAATGAAATTTGGGTGAAATTCCCAAGAAGAGAGAGTCCGCCTGACTCAGAGGTGAATTCTCCTTCCACACCATAACCCCTCTCCTCCTTCCCACCTCTCCATCGTCTCCCTCAAGCCAGCAACTACTCTTCATAAGGTAAAGTAAATATTAAAACACTACAACAAAACATTTATATTTACATGTGCAGTATTATATTTACATAAAAAAAAGTCATACAAGTATGGATGTTTTTGGGAATGGAACGGATTAAATTTATTTCCTTTATTTTAAATGGGGAAATTTGTTTCCAAAGACGAGTTTTCCAGGTAACGAGCTCGGTGCCAGAACGGATTAAACTCGTTAATAGAGGTTCTACTGTATATATATATATATATATATATAATATATATATATATATATATGTCGTACCTAGTAGCCAGAACGCACTTCTCTGCCTACTATGCAAGGCCTGATTTGCCTAATAAACCAAGTTTTCATGAATTATTTGTTTTTCGACTACCTAACCTACCTAACCTAACCTAACCTAATGTTTTCGGCTACCTAACCTAACCAAACCTATAAAGATAGGTTAGGTTAGGTTAGGTAGGGTTGGTTAGGTTCGGTCATATATCTACGTTAATTTTAACTTCAATAAAAAAAATTGACCTCATACATAATGAAATGGGTAGTTTTATCATTTCATGAGAAAAAAATTAGAGAAAATATATTAATTCATGAAAACTTGGCTTATTAGTCAAATCGGGCCTTGCATAGTAGGCTCAGAAGTGCGTTCTGGCTACTAGGTACGACATATATATATATATATGTCGTACCTAGTAGCCAGAACGCACTTCTCAGCCTACTATGCAAGGTCCGATTTGCCTAATAAGCCAAGTTTTCATGAATTAATTGTTTTTCGACTACCTAACCAACCTAACCTAACCTAACCTAACTTTTTCCGCTACCTAACCTAACCTAACCTTTAAAGATAGGTTAGGTTAGGTTAGGTAGGGTTGGTTAGGTTCGGTCATATATCTACGTTAATTTTAACTCCAATAAAAAAAATTGACCTCATACATAATAAAATGGGTAGCTCTATCATTTCATAAGAAAAAAATTAGAGAAAATATATTAATTCAGGAAAACTTGGTTTATTAGGCAAATCGGGCCTTGCATAGTAGGCCGAGAAGTGCATTCTGGCTACTAGGTACGACATTTATTTATATATATATATATATATATATATATATATATATATATATATATATATATATATATATATATATATATATATATATATATATATATATATATATATATATATATATGTCGTACCTAGTAGCCAGAACGCACTTCTCAGCCTACTATGCAAGGCACGATTTGCCTAATAAGCCAAGTTTTCATGAAATAATTGTTTTTTCGACTACCTAACCTACCTAACCTAACCTAACCTAACTTTTTCGGGTACCTAACCTAACCTAACCTATAAAGATAGGTTAGGTTAGGTTAGGTAGGGTTGGTTAGGTTCGGTCATATATCTACGTTAATTTTAACTCCAATTAAAAAAAATTGACCTCATACATAATGAAATGGGTAGCTTTATCATTTCATAAGAAAAAAATTAGATAAAATATATTAATTCAGGAAAACTTGGCTTATTAGGCAAATCGGGCCTTGCATAGTAGGCCGAGAAGAGCGTTCTGGCTACTAGGTACGACATATATATATATATATATATATATAAATGTTCGTTTGTTCAAAATCACTAAACTCCGAAAGTTCTTCACCGATTGCTTTAATATTTTGACAACGTTCCATTCGCATAAAGCATGTTTTTCTATACCTACTATATAGATGTCACATCTGTGACAGGTAAAAACATGTTTTGGAAAAACAGCATCATCTGTTCCACGTAAAACCAACACACACTATACTAAATATGTTACGATTACATTTTAGTGTTTCCAATTGCACTGATAAATTAAATTTTCATAGATTTCGATTTATTTTCATTTTTATTTAATTATTCTGTGTGACACTGCATTGGAATTGAGTTGTTTACCATACCATTCATTGTGAGTATTGTTTATTTTTTTACTTTTTCATTTTTTTAATTTTGTTTTTTAACTGTTCTTATTTTCCCTCTATGCAATTTGTCCTCTTTCCTAAATCTCTCCATTTCTCTCCCACTATTTCTTATTCGTTACAGTAATACAGTATTTTTCACCGTTTCCAATACTACTCCCCCTTTTTGTGACCTTATGGTTAACCTCTATGACCCTTCGAAAACTTAGATATGGAACAATTATAAGGGGACTTTTTTCAGTACAAACAAATGTGACTCACCTGTTGCACCTTGCATTCCAGTCTTGACACTCTCAACAGACACATGGCGCACGTGGTTTGCATGTTTCTCATTGACAAACACAAAGAGAGCCACCCCAACAAGCTGTGACCATGTCACCATAACAAACTTTTCATCTCTAGATATGACCTGCAAGAAATAATGGACACCTTACCCAACTATGATTCTCAAGTATGAATATTTATGGTTTAACAGTCGAGATAATTAACAAAGGGAGGAATGGTAGAATGAGGTACAGAGTGGCCGCACAGTCCCATTGCAAGAGATTGTGTTCTAGGTTTATTAATTCTGTCTAGGGACTCTGTATGATGGACACCACAGAATATACAACAGAAGATACACTGATTACAGTAATTGTGTAACTTGTGTTTGTACTCATGACCGCTCGCAGGAAATACAGTAGCAAATTTTTAAGAGAAGGACATTTGAAGTTTTCCATATGAACATGGGGAAATTGAACATTTGTGTGGAGAATGGAGAAGACCATATAGATAACTTCTAACTAGCACACAAAGAAACTTTGTAGCCATTCTGTACAGTATTCCCTTGGCCCTCTTTGCAATTACTGTACATATACAATTTAAAATATACCAGTATGTAATATTATGAAATAAGATTAAACCTAAGTTAACAAGTATATACTGTAGATTATTACACAAGCTCTGTGCATAATACTTAATCCTTACCTCCACTATTTGAGTCCTATTTCCGCTACCTGAACCCTGGCTCATCCACAGAGACTAGTTAGCTCCCAACCTTGCGACGATTTCGAGGCTCAACGTCCCCTCGGCCCGGTCCTCGACCAGGCCTCTAATACACAACCACAGCACCCAAGTCATGGATGGACAGACAGATAGACGGTATCTGCAAGTATTCCACATGTCTACAAAGACTAAAATAACACAAAAATTACCTTCTGCAATTCCTTTCCCCATGAGGCAGCATTTTCAGACCACTGAGTATTTTGCACTATGTTTGTCGCATTCAGATCCACAATTTCTTCAAAGCCAATAGCAAACACATCTGGAGTCTTAATGCTCTTGTTCTCCTCCTCAGGAGTTGTGTCCACAAGAGCTGAAAAAATAAACACACACACAAATCCAAATATTATTACTTATCCTTGACCTATCATTCGCCCTCCCCCTCTTTTTTTTGTACTGTAATAAATCAATAACATGTATTCATATTATTTGTATGATACACACCTATATGGCCAGTTTTGTTTTATGACAAACCAAAGTTACAAATATCTACATATATATGTATTAGCTAGTCAATTGTCTGGGCAGTGTCACTGATCCTTTATAACCCATCACACACCTGTAATTACACAGTGTCACTGATCCTTTATAACCCATCACACACCTGTAATTACACAGTGTCACTGATCCTTTATAACCCATCACACACCTGTAATTACACAGTGTCACTGATCCTTTATAACCCATCACACACCTGTAATTACACAGTGTCACTGATCCTTTATAACCCATCACACACCTGTAATTACACAGTGTCACTGATCCTTTATAACCCATCACACACCTGTAATTACACAGTGTCACTGATCCTTTATAACCCATCACACACCTGTAATTACACAGTGTCACTGATCCTTTATAACCCATCACACACCTGTAATTACACAGTGTCACTGATCCTTTATAACCCATCACACACCTGTAATTACACAGTGTCACTGATCCTTTATAACCCATCACACACCTGTAATTACACAGTGTCACTGATCCTTTATAACCCATCACACACCTGTAATTACACAGTGTCACTGATCCTTTATAACCCATCACACACCTGTAATTACACAGTGTCACTGATCCTTTATAACCCATCACACACCTGTAATTACACAGTGTCACTGATCCTTTATAACCCATCACACACCTGTAATTACAGTGTCACTGATCCTTTATAACCCATCACACACCTGTAATTCCTGTGTAATTACAGAATTTGGCATCCTTAATTTTAACCTTGAAAACTGCAACAATTATTATTTATTCATTACACAAAAGCTCTTCGCTATTCATATCAAGTTGTAATAAATGTTCAAACTTTTAGAATCTGCATACCTGAGTTCAATGTCACGTGTGTTCATAGATATTAGATATCAATGGGTATTAGAAATCAATAGTGATTAGCAATTAATAGATATTAGATATCAGTAGATAATATATATCAAGGAATGATATAAATAAATAAATATTAAGACACCAATGGATATTATATATCAATGGATACTAGAAATCAATAGATATTAGAAATCAATATACTGTACTGTATATCAGATATCAATAGATACTAGATATCAATAGCTATTAGAAATAAATATATACAGTATTAGATATCAGTTGATATTAGATATAAATAGATACAGTATTAGATATAGATACAGTATTAGATATAAATAGATATTAGATATCAACGGATATTAGAAAACAGATATTAAACATTACTAAATATTCGAAGACATTAGTTATGATATATTTACATTTTCCACCACCACCACTACCTATCACTGGGAGTGCGTATGAAAACATACATAAATCATATCATATAATCCCCTGTTACCATGTACCACAAAGTCCAACTGCCCCTTGAAAACTGTCACTATGTGTCAAGAGGGCCAGCAACGTTGGTGCCAACTTTCGCAAGTGTGTCGGAAGGCTCAGCGACGCTGTGCCAACTGTTCCAGTGTGTCATGAGGTCCAACAATTATGTGCCAGCTGTCACCAATCACAATGTCAAAGCTGGCCTAATGGCTTTCAGGTATCATAACAAGGCTAAGGATAGTCATTCATAGGGGCCATGTCTTATATCCCTTACCAACCATAACACATTTCCTTAAAGGAAACAGACAATAGTGTGAAAATATGAATACAATACTTACAACTTTGGACAGCATTTTTCTTGGAGTCAAGCAGCCAGTCATCTAGTGATAAATGCTTGTATGCCAGACTGCGAAAGTGTTTCCCACCATTTACATTGTATGTTCCTACAGCCACTCTTAAAGGTATTGATTCAGTGTATTCTGAGCTGTGTTGACACAACTGCCGCAACACACTGATGGGAGCTATGGGAATACAAGTCGTACTGTTAATATAGAACCACAAAATACCAACACATTAATAAAGTAACCCAATAAAATTAGAGTGGAAGTTTTATAAATAACAAACGCATACAAATATGTCAATAAATATTTAAATTAATGTATCTTATACAAAATAGCTTGTACTGAAACATAAGCAATATATATATATGAAGAGCTATGGAATAACTTCTTGTGATTTATTGGAATATATTTGGGCATATGAATATGAGCAAGTTTGGGTGGATATAAATAGGCGCTGTCTCATATGGGGGGGCCAATAGACCTCTTGAAATTTCCTCTATTCTTATGGTTTCATGTTATCATATAGGCCAATAATAATTCTGCAGTGTCATTTGTTCTTATGTTCTTAACAGGTTATCAGGTTTTGAGAACAGATAGGATAGGCACATTCTTGATGAGTCTTTCATACTTGTCCGTCTTGAGGAGTGCATTTTTCTGTAGTTCACCATAGTAATTTATATTCCCCATTAGTTTTGCAAATGACATCTACGAGCTCACTCCCACAGGAAGGTCATTCACAAAAGTTAGGAAAAACAGTGCTCCTAGGATGAAGGTCATTCACAAAAGTTAGGAAAAACAGTGCTCCTAGGATGAAGGTCATTCACAAAAGTTAGGAAAAACAGTGCTCCTAGGATGAAGGTCATTCACAAAAGTTAGGAAAAACAGTGCTCCTAGGATGAAGGTCATTCACAAAAGTTAGGAAAAACAGTGCTCCTAGGATGAAGGTCATTCACAAAAGTTAGGAAAAACAGTGCTCCTAGGATGAAGGTCATTCACAAAAGTTAGGAAAAACAGTGCTCCTAGGATGAAGGTCATTCACAAAAGTTAGGAAAAACAGTGTTCCTAGGACTAAGCCTTGGGCATCCCACTTGTCACATTCCTCCAGCTCGACACCACCACTGTGACCCTTTCTTTTCTATCCTTCAAGTACTCGCTTACTTAGTCCAGTGTTTTTCCAGTTATCCCAGCTTGCTTCTCCATCCTGTACACCAACCTTTCATGAAGAACAATATCAATTGCTTTTTGACACTCTAGGAATATACAGTCTACCCAGCCCCTTTTTTTTTATCATATTTTGGAACATTGTGTACTACTCAAAATTTGTTAGGCATGGATTTTCTCTTCTATATCCATGCTGTCCTTCGGTTAAAAGTTGATACTCTCCAGGTACTCCATTATCTTCAAATTGATTGCTTTCTCTAACACTTTACATGGCATATTTGTCAGTAGCACTTGGTCACTTTTTTTTTTGTTAATTAGAACTACATTTTCCTTTTCATGAATTCTGGGAGATATCCTATCTTGAGCAGTTAATTGATAATGTTAGTTAGCAGATGACAAAGTACTTTTGCAGCTTCCTTCAACAACCATGGTTATATTAATTCTGGTCCTACTAATTCATTGGTGTTGCAGTTAGTTCCTCCAGGTGTTTTTCACCTTATCTACAGAGACTACCACATCGAAATCTAGTTCCATATATGTTTTGGCCCCTTTACATCTTGAAAGAGACTTCCAGAAATCTCTTTGTCAAGTTCCTAACACCCAACCTTGTAACTGTCATGGGGATTTCCTCTTGTGTCCTCAACCTGATCATAAGATTTCCATGTTATTTTTTCCTGCCTATCATTTTCCAGCCAGAACTCTAGGTCTTTTGACTTTGGCCAGCTGCTTGTTGGCCCTCACTCCATTGTTCTGACAATTCTGGCTGTTGGGCTCCTGCCAGGGTTTGGGGTTTCTACTGAATGGTCCACCTACAGGTTGGATGTTTGGCTCTACCCAAGTGTCCCTCAGCCTCATCGTGCTCCTCTGCCCCGGGTCTTTTGCTTTGTCGTCTTCTCCCACAAGTTGGACCCGACCACATTTTTTGTTTCCTGCTTAATTGGCCTCCATGTGTCATTTTACCTTGTCTTCTGTAACCTTCAAGCTATCTCATTATTTCTTTCAGTCTGTTGTCCTGTACTGTATATGGTTCCATTTTGAAGAGCTCTTGGAACCCCTTCTTGAATTTCTCGCACAACAGGTGCTAAATACTAGCACTAACAACTAACAAGGTGAGAAAACTATTTGTTTGGTAAGCATAAACAAATGGGTTAACAGAAAGTGAGCCAAGTTTGTATAAAATAACAGACTAATGGTGCTTTTGAAATATACAATGCCTAAAAAAATTAAAAACCAGCAAATATACATAGGTGAGAGCAATGCATGTCATCTTACCATAGAGGTAACTTGTTGGCAGCAAGGATCTGGAGAGTGCCGCCAGATAGTTGTTAAGGAGGTTACCATGTAGGATAATGTCAATGGCTTCTTGCTTGCTACTGTCCAGGAGGTTGTTTTGAAATGTTCTCGCAGCTGATCGTGCACCATCAATTAGCTGATGAAAATATTTATCTTTAATCAGTTTATTAGTTATATTACTGAGTATTCAAAAATAGTTTATGTGAAACCTAGCAGTGTTAAACTGTAAATGTTTATAACTACAGTAAAATTGGAAAAAGTGCTGACATCTTGGAGGATTACAGATCACATACCAATTTCAGAGGTGTCCTGTATTATCAGGGTGACCCATCACAAACATGTGTAAGAACTTGCATATGTGGTTAGTTAACTAAATAAAAAAGAAAACAAAATGATAACAAAATTCGGATTTATTCAATTCTCAAGATTAAATAGAATAGAGAACATAACATTAAAATGAACACTGCAGCAGCATACCTGTTGGTTTACTGATGCAGCACCCCTTTAAACCAAATCTCTCTCACTCTTGTACATACATTGTTTTGCTACTTTTTTGTTGAACGTCTGCCCCTCTTCTGTTGGGCGTCTGCCCCTTGCTTGCTGGGCGCCTGCCACTTTCTTGTTACACGTTTGCAACTTTGTTGGGCGTTTGTCACTTTTCTTTAGGGCATTTGCCACTTGTTGCACATTTGCCTTTTTTGGGGGGGTTTGCCACTTTTCTGTTGGGCATTTGCCAATTTTCTGTTGCGCATTTGCCAATTTTAATTTTCTTTTGGGAGTTTGCCACTTTTACAACCAAATCTCCAAACAATGCAAAGTATTTGTCACAATGATGTAATGTTGCAGATGGCTCTACCTATTCACAAGTCAACTGAAACACCAACTGTTAACTTTATCCTTTATAAACACAGTATAAACTTGTGAAGCATAACTCCTCCTGTTATGGGTGTGATAATGTTACACTTTCAATACCCTATAGTATTTAAATCCCATGTGTTTATGCATTTCGTCCATACACACACACTTCAGTCACATCACCTCCCAACATCTTCATACACAATATTTCTAATGCTAAGAATTCAGGCATTCTTCATTGTATATTGTCTAGAGAATTTGTCCCTTCTAAAATACCATACAGTATTTAAAGATATTGTGTAACAAAGCAAAACATTACATGAGGTGTGCAGAGTTAAATTTGGGCCACAAGATACGAGACCAGCTTGTGTGTGCCAGAGGTCTTCCAACACTACACATCTCGGCCACAAGATACGAGACCAGCTTGTGTGCGCCAGAGGTCTTCCAACACTACACATCTCGGCCACAAGATACGAGACCAGCTTGTGTGTGCCAGAGGTCTTCCAACACTACACATCTCGGCCACAAGATACGAGATCAGCTTGTGTGTGCCAGAGGTCTTCCAACACTACACATCTCGGCCACAAGATACGAGACCAGCTTGTGTGTGCCAGAGGTCTTCCAACACTACACATCTCGGCCACAAGATACGAGACCAGCTTGTGTGTGCCAGAGGTCTTCCAACACTACACATCTCGGCCACAAGATACGAGACCAGCTTGTGTGTGCCAGAGGTCTTCCAACACTACACATCTCGGCCACAAGATACGAGACCAGCTTGTGTGTGCCAGAGGTCTTCCAACACTACACATCTCGGCCACAAGATACGAGACCAGCTTGTGTGTGCCAGAGGTCTTCCAACACTACACATCTCGGCCACAAGATACGAGACCAGCTTGTGTGTGCCAGAGGTCTTCCAACACTACACATCTCGGCCACAAGATACGAGACCAGCTTGTGTGTGCCAGAGGTCTTCCAACACTACACATCTCGGCCACAAGATACGAGACCAGCTTATGTGTGCCAGAGGTCTTCCAACACTACACATCTCGGCCACAAGATACGAGACCAGCTTGTGTGTGCCAGAGGTCTTCCAACACTACACATCTCGGCCACAAGATACGAGACCAGCTTGTGTGTGCCAGAGGTCTTCCAACACTACACATCTCGGCCACAAGATACGAGACCAGCTTGTGTGTGCCAGAGGTCTTCCAACACTACACATCTCGGCCACAAGATACGAGACCAGCTTGTGTGTGCCAGAGGTCTTCCAACACTACACATCTCGGCCACAAGATACGAGACCAGCTTGTGTGTGCCAGAGGTCTTCCAACACTACACATCTCGGCCACAAGATACGAGACCAGCTTGTGTGTGCCAGAGGTCTTCCAACACTACACATCTCGGCCACAAGATACGAGACCAGCTTGTGTGTGCCAGAGGTCTTCCAACACTACACATCTCGGCCACAAGATACGAGACCAGCTTGTGTGTGCCAGAGGTCTTCCAACACTACACATCTCGGCCACAAGATACGAGACCAGCTTGTGTGTGCCAGAGGTCTTCCAACACTACACATCTCGGCCACATGATACGAGACCAGCTTGTGTGTGCCAGAGGTCTTCCAACACTACACATCTCGGCCACAAGATACAAGACCCCATTGTATGTGTTAGCAATCATCACCTTTACACATTTTGCATTTTCAATATTATCATTATTATTATTACAATAGAACTTTTACCCAGGGCCAAGCACTGGAACCAGAAAGTTATTTATGCTAATTACTTGTTAACCATGGCTCAAACTCTATTAGATCATCATCTCTAATGTTAAACATTTCAACTTTCATTATCAGCCTATCATGCAGAACAATGCCAAAAATTCTGTTGAAGTCAATGCGTGTCCTAATCTGGGCCACGCTCCACAGCTTCAAATATATTTGAATAAATCAAGTGTCAAATGTAATAGAACACATTTCTGTTTGGCTCTCAATAGATATGAGATGAGCACCGGTACAGATAAAGATGCAACAGGTCTTCAAGATCAACTCATGTCCACGAGCAGCCAGGTACAAAACTCTCCTCTCTCTACAAGGTAAGAAAATGCAGGAACCAAAGTTCAATTCAAAATTGTAGACAAATAACCTAGAAAGCATCAGCTAAAAGTAAGCAGCTAAGTCAGTAAGCAACTAAGTCAGAGAGGATATGTCAGGATGGAAGAATGTACCAAGCATGCTTCCTCATGGCACTCTCCTTGGCCCATTGTTCTTACTATGTAAATAACCTAACCCAAGCAAATTAGCTACTAAATATTAATGTTTACAAATGAAGCAAAACTAGTGAGGAGAGAAAAAAGCAAGGCTCATTGCAGTGCTGAATGCAGACCCTGATAAATATAAGGTGGGGCAAACAAATGAGTGTCGAGTTCAACCCCAACAGGGTGTAAGGTAATGAAAAGGTAAAAGTGAGATTGACCATAAGAAATCTACCAAGTAATGGGGAGGCAAATACAGGAATTGGACACACAAAAGCTCTTGGGAGTGGATATAATTTCAGCACTAACAGAGGAAGCACAAACAGGATAATATTAATAGTTCACACAAGGCCTAAATTAGGTAAACTAAGCTATGAAGCAAAGTTAAATTTAGTAATGCTCGAGTAGCGTGGATATGATCACTAGGTACAAAATACTGAGGGAAATAAACGAAGTAGACAAGAACAGCCTCCTTAACCCTTAAAGAGCAGTTATCGTCATACACTGATCCCTGGGGCTAATGCGCTTATCACCATGTGTTGACTTTATCACCTGTTTTTATACATGTATATATATATAATAAAGATAATGAAGACCTCCGAGAAAATTCTGCTATCTTTTTAATTGCTTACTATGTAATCAGGTTAACTTGTGCCAATTTGAACTTTCCTGCCCGCGTTTGAATCTATTTCTCGACGATATAACCAGACAGAATAGCAGTAAAGGAGTGGGTTGCAAGGCACTTCCTTTAAGCTGTGCCAAGAACGGATTTATGTGCAACAAAAGCGCACACATTACATTATAATATATACAATCCTCAATCATTGTTTCCATCAATTATGTTTACATATCTTGAGCTATTCCACACACACTGTGTACTCTAAAGTAAAACAGTGAACACAAAACCCATCAAACTTGAATATCAGAAATCTCATCCCCATGTGATAATTTACTAAACTATGTAGCCACATGTGCACACACCCCAACCGCCTCCACCTCGTTCCCTCCCACTATGTGCACAAAACACACGCAAAGACTAGATTTTCTTTTTGTATTCTCCATTTTGCATGTAAATATATCATTTCATAAGAACGAATTATCATTAATTATATTTTTTTTGTGGCACCCTTGATGATAGCTGCACTTTAAAGGTTAAATTAATAAAATAAGGCAAAAGAACAACAGAGGCTGGAACTGCAAATTATTAAAAAAATCTTTAAAGAAGTATTGTACTCATATGCTGTAAAGGTAGTCAAAATGTGAAAGGTAAATATCTTAAAAAACTCAAATTTTGGGCAATTTGAGGGCACCAAACTGCTTTTTTTTTTTTTTAATATTTCTCAATATTTGTTTTATTGCCACTAAAACGCTTAGATTATCAGCTTTGGTTGAAAGAAATCTGTAGAGTCTAAATAATTTACTTCTATGTACTGTATTTTTATTTAGCCACTGCAGACACAAAGAAAGCTGGCACCAATGTCTGGATGCAATGAAAACATAAAACAATCAAGGTAATTACATACAGATTATTGGAAAAGTACAGTATGTACAAAATAAGTTGCACAACAAACTGAAACATTACTGAGGGCTTTATGACTTATTTGTGGCAAGAAAATTCAAATCTCAAAACATCATTTTTTATTTTTTGCTCTTTGTTAATTTCCATCAGATTTTTTATGAAATTTTCACACAATATGCCAATCAGCAGGCTTTACAAAGGTTATAATATCAATTCTACTTAAGGTAATTGATTAGGCAATACAGTATATTTTTTGTTCAATTAAAAAAAATTATTATTATTATTACAGTATTAAGAAACAAAATAATATTTCTTTTTAATTAATTTTGTAAAGCACAGTATATACAATAGACTTTTTCATGATCTTTCCAATCATAACAATGAAATGACCTTACAGTAGTAGTAGTTGTTTAATAAACAATTTCAAAAACAAAACAAAAACGTTGATTTTAAAAGTAAACCATTAACAGAACCCCATGCTGATATTTGAATGGCTAAAAATCAAA